ATGTCAGTGTGGTACAATGTGATTTGAGATTTGATTTCACTTATTGAAGGTGATGGTAAGATTGTGGAGAGAAGAGGTAACTCTCAACACCTCAACTTCTTTGTTGTTTATCAAAACTCATCAAAAAGAATCTAAGAGCGTGTATGGCAAAACTGTATTAGAAATAGGAGCCTTCCTGGACCAATTCCTTGGACTCTGTTCTTCTTCTTTTTTTAATAACAGCTGGTAAGTCTCCTCCATTCCAATTCCTTAAATAGTACCCAAGTACTCATGGCCTCCAGATTCTTTCTCTCTCTCTCCTGAACTCCAACTGCTTACAGTTAGATGTCCCATAGCATGTTCAATACTGAACTCCCCATCTTCCCAATCTCACCCCATCCTCCACCTACCTCTTTCTGCGTCCCAAATACTAGTCCACAGATTGCAAGAGTATCATCTGGGGGAACTTATTAAAATAGGGTTTTGGTTCCACTGCGATCTGTTGGATAAGAATCTTTCAGGGCAGAGCCCAGGAATCTGAATTTTAAACCAATTTCCCAGGTGATTCCAATACAGCACCAGATTTAGGAAGCACTGTCCTATATGGCCAAATGGCACCAGTATCCGAGTGTCATCATGTCGATCAGGCTTAAAAGGGGAAATAAAAAGAATTGGAGCAAACTCTACTCGTTGAAGAGGCTAAAATCTGTTATCAGCATGTCTTGGTCTATGTTCGCTCTTCTTTTGTCTCTTTCAACAGCAATTTTTTGACTTGAACATTCTACTTTTCCTTTTCTAGGAAAAGAATTATCTGGTGGTAGCCTATGTTTTCCCTGGAGAGTACTTTCTGGATTCTTTACCTTCATAATTAGCCTTATGCATTGGTGTTGAACAGTAGGGATGGCATTCTTTACTCTGGGTCACATTTCTTGGTGTTAAGAATTTAGGGTCATTTGACATAGATAGGATCTTTTGGGGGTGATGGACTAGTATATAATAAGGTCCTACAAGATCTCTGGGAATAAATGTCACTCCTGATTAGCACTGAGGACAACCATCTCTAAACTGAAGCTGAAAACTTTCTTGACTCTCTAAGGATGATTTAAGTGTTCCATCTCAGGCTTCCCTCGTGCCTGTCCTATCTAGTACTATAGGACATGCTGTAATTGCTTTTTACCACACTGCCTTCCCCAACTACACTGTAGGCATCCTGAAGATAGTCTCACCACTCAGATTCCTGGGTATAATACATGGTGTCATGGGTCTGACAGAGGCCTTCAAGAATTGAGCCCAAGCCGAAATCGGTTTGGCTCAGTGGTAGAACGTCAGCCTGCGGACTGAAGGGTCCCGGGTTTGATTCTGGTCAAGGGCATGTACCTTGGTTGCAGGCACATCCCCAGTAGGGGGTGTGCAAGAGGCAGCTGATTGATAAATCTCATTGATGTTTCTCTCTCTCTCCCTTCCTCTCTGTAAAAAATCAATAAAATATATTTTTTTTAAAAAAGAATCGAGTCCAACATGTCTCATGGATGCTATAGAGTGGATTCCTGCAGGAAGCTCCAACTCAATGGCTTCCAGTCTGTACATAAGAATGGATGAGAAAGAGAAGAGGCACCAAAGATGAGCTAGCTTTTATGAGACATAAGGTGTGAATGGTGTGACCCTTCAAAGCAAAGTGCCAGCTGAGCAGCTGGCAGAACCACTGGCTTCTTCCTCTTTATTAGGCCCCTCCTGGTCACACCACTCTCCCTGCTGAGTTATGGCTGCCCTGCTGACTCAGGCAAAGGTGAAGCTAATGATGCTAAGGACTTTAAGGGACCTCATACCCAAAATAACTGCAGATACAAGCCACTTAGAGGATGATATACACATTTAAGCACATCATTATAAAATGCAGGGTGTCCTAGAAGATAGTGGTTTATATTACTGTCTCAAAGGCTATTCTACCAGGTTGTTGTTTTTTTTTGTTTTTGTTTTTAAGTAGACATTTTTCCATAGAAACTTTTAAAATGGGATGATGAGATGCTTTTAGGCTCAGCTATACTTGGGATCAAATAGGCTTTTGAATTTGGCTGTTTTTCTATTGGACTTGCCATCTCTCGGGGGCCTGTGTTCAAAATCCAAATAGTCAACTTGTAAATGAACTTATGATGCAAGATTTTTTTTGTAGAGTTCATCCTCTTGTGGATCAAAAAACAGTTGTTTTCTTTCTTTTTTCTCTCACTCATGGAATATAATGAACAACATAAACTGATGAACAAAAACAGATCTAGAGACAGAGAAGCATCGATCAGACCGTCAAACCTCAGAGGGAAGGTAGGGGAGGGTGGGGGTAAGGGGGAGAGATCAACCAAAGGACTTGTATGCATGCATATAAGCCTAACCAATGGACGCAGTCACAGGAGGGTGAAGGCATGAGGCAGGAGTTAGGGGATAATGGGAGGGTGGGGGGGAAGTAAGGACACATATGTAATACCTTAATCAATAAATAAAATAAGGGAGTTAAGTAAAAAAAATACAAATAAAGCAAGAAAAAACACCCCACAAAAAAACAAAACAAAACAAAAGTTTTATCATGTGAGAGGACTTCTTATAAGTGTCCAACAAAGAGCAAATAAAATAAAACAAATGAACAATGCTTGAAGACGAGGCACAAATCTCTTCTCATATTAACTTAAAAGAATAGGATACCAAAAGAGATAGTAGAATGCTCTTTTCTGGTAATCCTTTAAAAAAGACTAAATTTGCAGCTACCTAGAAGAGTTTAAACATGACCCGGGTGAAAGTGATACCTTCCCCACCAACCCTATCAGCTTTCTGCCTTGTTCAGGACAAACATGCTCACAGCTGTGCCTCCCACACCTTGGTTGTACCTGAGCTCCTGAGGGCAATGCCATGTATACATCCAGAGCCACAGTCCCAACGCTGCAGCCAATATTTGTACTTCTATCCAAATACGTTTGTGATAGTTCATTTTGAGGAAATGCTCACCTTTAGCAAAGTCCTTGAAAGCTAACAGTGTTGTGCAGAAGGGGTGAGGAGGTATCTACCTGCCTACTGGCTCATTCTTGCAGCATCAAGGAGATTCATAGCCAGGACCGGTTTGGCTCAGTGGATAGAGCGTTGGCCTGCGGACTGAAAGGTCCCGGGTTCGATTCCGGTCAAGGGCATGTACCTTGGTTGCAGGCACATCCCCTGTGGGGGGTGTGCAGGAGGCAGCTGGTTGATGTTTCTCTCATCGACGTTTCTAACTCTCTGTCCCTCTCAATTCCTCTCTGTGTAAAATCAATAAAATATATATATTTTTTTTTTAAAAAAAAGGAGATTCATAAAGTGCTGTCAAAAGCAGGATCCATTCAATTTGCTCAAAAAACTTAAGAAGAAAGATGTATAGGTACATATTGACTTTTTATTGTGCTACCTTTATTAACAATCGTATAATTATTAGAAGTCAGAAATTAAATGTATAATGTAGGCGTATATTTTGAATAGGTAGGACTTATGTAGTTTAAGTCATCTCGGGATGTTGTGGCTAAGATATATTTTTCTTAATCAACAAAGGTATTTATTGCCCTAGCTGGTTTGGCTCAGTGGATAGAGCATCGGCCTGGGGACTGAAAGGTCCCAGGTTTGATTCAGGGTCAAGGGCACATGCCTGGGTTGTGGGCTTGATCCCCAATAGGGGATGTGCAGAAGGCAGCCAGTCTGATTCCCTCTCATCATTGGTCTTTCTCTCTCTCCCTCTCCTCTTCCTTTCTGAAATAAATAAAAAAATATATTTTTTAAAAACGTATTTATTAATAGTAGCACTTATAATAAAAATTAGGAACCAACGCTTCCCACAATAGAATGATAGCGGGGGTGTGGGGAAGTGGAGGGAGAGATGCCAGAGTCAGGTATATAGATATTTATAGGCAGAGGAGATATAAATATGTATCCTGATGGTTCTGTTTCTCTGGAGAACCCAGACTCGCGCAGACCCCGGCATCAGTATTTTTTTAAAGCTCCCCCATTGGTTGAAATCTTCAGCTCTCGTTGAGAACCTCTAGTCTGCAAGTTCTTAAGCCCTGTGGGGCCCAGGTGGCTTCAGAGGGTCTGAGAACTCTCTGAACTCAGAAACGAAAGTGTGCATTTCTGTTGACTGTATCTGATCCAACTCCCAGCTGACATCCTTGCAAAATAATTGTTTGGTTTTGTTTCAACATCTCCAGTCTTGGAAAACACTCTCCTCTCCGAGAGAGCCCGTCTCATCTTAGAACAATTGTAAGGAAACTCAGAAGCTGATTTTCTAGGACTGGGTGAGAAAGGTGGAGGGTTGAGAAGTACAGATTGGTAGCTCCAGAATAGTCACGGGGGTGTAAGGTACGGCCTAGAAAATATAGTTAATGATATTGTAATAACTATGTTGGGTGCCGGGTGGGTACTGAGAATATCAGGGTGGGGTGGGGTGGAAGTGGGGGAGCACTTTGTAAAGTGTATGATTGTCTAACCACTTCCCTGTACACCTGAAAGCAATACAAAATAATACTGAATGTAAACTGTAATTGAAACATTGAAAAGATCAAAAAAGGGAGTTGATTTTGAATAAAAGAATCACAAAACATCAGTCAGAAGGATAGCTTCATGTGTAAACTTATTACAATATTTTCCATTTTACTACTGCGTAGCTTAGTATCTTACTGGGTTGTTTAAAATCTCTATGCCTGGTTGCCTTGTCTATAAATTGAGGTTAATACTATCTAGCTTAATAACACAAACAACTTTTGTATGGAGTAAATTACATCACATATGAAGTGGCTAGCAGAATGCCCCAGCACACGGGATGTACCCACTTATTAGTGGCTGATATTACTACTAACACAATTATCAAAGTGCAAATATTATAATGACCAGCTCATGAGGTGATATCATTGTATATTCTGAACCCAACCCCCCCACCCACAGAGCTTGGCACAAATCTGTGCCCATGGTAGGTACCAGTAAGAATTTAGGTTGAACTAAACTGAATGAACCACTCCTACCGGGTTATTCTGTTCTTTCAGGGGTATTTCAGGTCCAAGTTCTGCCTCGAGGCTGACGGCATCAATGCATTCGGCAAGCACCTCCTCAGTCACGTCTCCGTTGCGGGGTGGATCCATGGCGCTGGTGTCTTCGGGCTGGTCAGGGTGTGCAGCGTCAGCAACCTCCTCACCCTGAACGGCTGCATTTTCATGTGCATCTCCTCTGGGGTCAGCCAGCGTTGGCTCATCTGAAATCATAGCTGACTCACAGCGCACCTCTGCATCTTTGGGTAAAGAATCACTATCGAGCATCTCGGTAATTTCTGCTTTGTCTCCAGGGGCGATGGTGTCAGCAGCAACATCAGACATCTTATTATCTGCCAACCTAATTACAAACAAAAACTTTCTATCTTAATCTGAATTGCTGGGCTTTAATTCAAAGCCCTGAATGATTAAATTATGTAAGTCTGCTGGGGTAAATCAATAATAAACTTTATGGAACCTTGGGGTAGACTGAATAAATATCCCAAGGATATCCTAATTCCTGGAATCTGTGAATGTTATCTTATATGGCAAAAAGGGACTTTGCAGATGTGATCAAATTAAGGATCTTAAAATGGGGACATTTATCTTGGATTATGTGGGTGGGTCCTAAACGAAATCCTAAGTGTCCTTAGTAGAGAGAGGCAGAAGGAGATTTGACTGCCAAGAGGAAAAGGGGGTGTGATGACAGAAGCCGAGATTGGAGTGGTGCACTTTGAAGACAAAGGAGGGGGCCATAAGCCAAGGAACTCAGGTGACTACTAGAAGCTGAAAAAGTTGAGGAAACCATTCTCCTCTGAGAGATTCCAGAAGAAACCAGCCCTACCAACACTTTGACATTAGCCCAGTGAAACTCATTTTAGACTTCTGACCTCCACAACTGTAAGAGAATACGTCTGTGTTGTTATAAGCCACTAGGTTGTTGTAATTTGTTACAGCAGCAAGGAAACTAATAAGACCTACAGTGCTATCTTTAACCTTTCATGGATCTCTTGCTTGCTTTGCACTGATATGCATAGGGTAACGAGAAGTATTATTTGAATCTGTAAAATTATTTATGTAGTAAGACTTGGTTAATTACATTTGTCGTAATGAGAATTGGCATAGAAAATACCTAAGAGCTTATTAAAAAATACGTGACATTTAGCTCTGCCATGTAATCAGAGGTTCACATTGAGAAAGAGACATACATACACATAAGTATGCTTTGTTGAGTACCAGTTGGTGAAGGCCTGGTACCCAACAATAATTTAAATAGAGATGCATGAGGATAAAACGGGAAGGAAAGAAGTATTGTATTAAGCCATTACAAAACAACCTGGGAAGCAGAAAACTCATTATCATGTAGATATCATGTAAAACCTCACGGTTCAATAGAACTTTTTCTGATGATGAAACTGTTTTATATCTGCACCATCCAGTGTGGTAGCTAATAGACACATGTGGCTACTGTGCATGTGAAATCTGGTTACTGACATATAAAAAATGTTAATTTATTTAATTCATTTTGTTTAATACATTTTAAATTTTATTCCGTTTTATTTATTTATTAATTTTATTGATTATGGTATCACATAATTGTCTATTCTATTTTAAATAATTAAAAATTTAATTCTACAAAGGCCTATATGGCTAGTGGCTACCTTATTGGATAGCACAGATCTAGGAAGCTAGTTCAAGATTATATATATATATATATATATATATATATATATATATATATATATATAATGAAGACAGTGTTCTCGCTACACAAGAAGCCAAGTCTCAGGCAAATCAATGGGCATTTTTGTTGACCATGGTGTTTACCAATTGGTCAAATCTCAGGAAAGTAAATAAAACCATGGTATGTGAGACGCTAGTTAACATACTGGCCACCTGGTTGTGTATTGTAACTTAGAAAGAACTCATTTCTCCAGCCCTCATATACCCTCAAAGAGCAGTAGTCTGGCTATTTCCTTTTCCAGCTACATTCTCCACCTTGGTGAAGCACATTCTTTTCTGTTTATCACAACACTTCCATGTCATGAATCTCAAATGTCTATCCAGGCCATGGAGACAGAAAGTAAATTAGTGGTTTCCAGAGGCTGAAGGGAGAGGAAATGAGGAGTGACTGCTAATGGGTACAGATTTCTTTCTTGGGTGATGAACATGTTTTAAAATTAGGTAGTGATAATGGCTGTACAACTGTGTGAATATCCTGAAAACCACTGAATGGTATACACCTTAAACGAGTGAATTCTGTGCCCTAGTCGGTCTGGCTCAGTGGACAGAATGTCAGCCTGAGGATTGAAGGGTTCCAGATTCAATTTTGGTCAAGGGCACATGCTTGGGTTGTGGGCTTGATCTCCAGGAGGGGGCATGAAGGAGGCAGCTGATCAATGACTCTCACCATTGATGTCTCTATCTCCCTCTGTCTGACTCTCTGAAATCAATAATATATATACAAATAGTGAATTTTATAGTATGCGAATTTTATGGTACATAAATTACATCTTAATTATTAAGATGAAATATATATGAAATTCTAGCCCTGGATAAGTAGTTCTAAGGGCCAGTTGAACATCTCTTCCTAGCCAAAAGGAAACTTGTGGTCTTATCATTAACACTAGATCTTCCTCTTAACTTTTGTGTTCCATTTAATAACACCCAGATGTCCCCAATTACCCAGGATAATCAAGGTTGGAGATGGTCTGTCAATAAGTATGATCAATTCCTAGTTGAAACACTAAAGAATGATAGAAGGCTACTGTACAGAAAAGGGCAGTTACTGTGGTTCATGGAGGGGGCGGGTGGAGGGAGGCTACTTGAAAGCCATTGTCATTTGGAAACTTCTAAGATCTTTGTGAAAATGTTGTCAGGATTGGCTTAGGATGGAAGTTGGCAAACCACAGCCTGCTGGCTAAATAAAGTTTTATTGGGACACAGACATGCTCATATGTTTATGTACTGCCTATGGCTTCTCAGAGTTGAATGATTGCAATAGAGACCATATGGCCCACAAAGTCCAAAGCCTAAAATATTATTTATCTGGCCCTTTAGACAATGTTTGCTGACTTAAGGCCTAGGACAGTGGTCGGCAAACTCATTAGTCAACAGAGCCAAATATCAACAGTACAACGATTGAAATTTTTTTTGAGAGCCAACTTTTTTAAACTTAAACTTCTTCTAACACCACTTCTTCAAAATAGACTCGCCTAGGCTGTGGTATTTTGTGGAAGAGCCACACTCAAGGTGCCAAAGAGCTGCATGTGGCTCTTGAGCCGCAGTTTGCCGATCACGGCGCTAGGACACTGCTTGACTGCCGAGGCCTAAAGAGTTCTCCATTCTAATTTATCCTCTCCTCATCTGGATCCTAGGGGCAGGACCACAGGAGAATGGGTCTATGAGTAAATGATGCTGAGACATCACTTTTATTCCTAGTTTTGGTTTCATCAATAGCTGGTCACCGACACTGCCTATTTTCTTTGTAAGATAATTTGAAAATCCTTATCATTTACCTGGATTAGTAAGAAGCTCCAAACTATTTCACTTTTCTATAAGCAGGAACATAAACCTGGTTGTGATAAACATTCGTGGGCAAATAAAAAGCATTATGAGCTCTGTCCTGCGTGCTCTACTCTAAATGTGTTATGAGACCATTCACAATGCTAAAATACTTCAGCACACACCAGATGCCAAGTGTGCGGGTTTTTTGTCATTTACGCCCTGGCAGTGGTGCGTTGACATCTGAAGCCCCGTATTCAGGAATATGCTCGCCAGAGGTTGTCAGTTAGCATTTCAATCTCTGTAACTGAGAGTTCACCTCTTGAGAGGGTTCAACTTTCACCCTCTCAGGTAGGTTCTCCAGGGTTTGCTAATTAGCAGAAGGGATATTAGAAATCATTTCCACTGATAAAATGGCAATGGGGCTTAAGGTAGGTGACTGGCAAGAAGTAATGGACAGGTTCTTTCTGCCCTTCCATTATCAGGGCACACAACTGCACTGAGCCCAGCAGCTTGTTGCCCTGTGGAGTATTATTTTTCTAGTTCTTCTAGCTGGGTAGTCGGCAAACTCAGTAGTCAACAGAGCCAAATATCAACCGTACAACAACTGGAATTCCTTTTGAGAGCCAAATTCTTTAAACTTAAACTTCTTCTAACACCACTTCTTCAAAATAGACTCGCCCAGGCCGTGGTATTTTGTGGAAGGGCCACACTCAAGGGGCCAAAGAGACGCATGTGGCTCGCGAGCCGCAGTTTGCCAACCAGTGTTCTAGCTGATTTGGGGAGAACACGGAACCTGAGGCTGAAGAGGTTCCCTGAGTCCTCTCAGAGGCCCCAAAGGACAGAGTGAGGACATCATCAGGCTCCAGGAATGAGTGTATAACTGAGCCCAGTGGGTAGCATCCATGCGAGTGAGTGGCAGAACTCTGAGAACTTTGTGGCAACATCACTCTCTCGGTGAGGAGGTTTACACAGGCGGAAACCTACAGCCCTCCCTCATCTCTAATGGCCAAACTGCCTAAGGTCAGCTCACCTCAATTCCAGAAAAACTGCTGCAACAAAATCTCTCTTCTCTGCCCCTGCTCTGCCTTCAACCAGCAACACAACGCCAGAAGTCGAGTATTTGAACTGATACTGTTAAAAATATTTATGGACAACTTATAAATTTCAGAAGGACTATATTTTTACACCTATAGTAAAAATGGGCGCTATACTATCCAGCCCTACTTTAACTTCCAATTGTACACATCTCTAATCTCTTTACTTCTACCTCTTACAGGTCTACGTCTCCCCTAAACCAAATCCAACACGAGAGGTCTTGTTTGTTCGTTTCAGTGGACCTTTATCTACTCTGGGTGTTATTATGACAGGAGAGACGCAATCATTTTTTAAGACTCTCTCCTTTCATCTGAAATCATCAGAAACTGTGCGTTCTGAGCACACAGCTGTTTCTGAGCAGTGACGGATGGCATCCACCCGGACCACAGCCGTGGTGCACACCCTGCTTCCCGGGACAGCCTCCGCCCTGACCCGCCCTGGATAGAGGGTCAGCCTGCAGATTGAAAGGTCCCAGGTTCAATTCCGGTCAAGGGCATGTACCTTAGTTGTGGGCACATCCCCAGTAGGGGGCGCCCAGAGGCAGTCCGACTTCAGAATCGCTCCGGATTCCTGGTCAGGAGCATTGATCATGGCCGCTAAGCCTGTGGCTTTGATGCTGGGGAGACTCCACCCGCAGAAACAAGGAGGCTTCTTCAGTGACTCCCAGGAGAGGAAGGGGGCGTATAAAGGAGCCTTTGTGGCTGGGCATAAGTTAGTTTTTTTCACAAGTAAATGCAATCATT